TCTTTTCAGATAAAGATTATAACAAGATCAAAGCATTGTCTGCTCGCATTAAAACTTGATTGCACCATGTTCTCGAAGAAAAGTCCGAGTAAAACATAGTGCGAACGTAGATAACAAACGGTGACTGGAAAATTGTGAAACTAGTACGTACTGGTGCAACATAGCATGCCGTCCGCACTGGTAGTGCCGGACTTCTTTCGGTACTACATTGGGATTTTTCTGTAGGAGAGTCGATCACGTTTCTCATACGAATCTTATAAGAATAACGTACAAGTTTTGCTGACTCTTACCAATTTCTTATGAATTCTTGTGAGATTCTTATAAGATTCAGCAGAATTCTTGTCACTTTCGTAGAAGATCTTATATAAGAATTTGAGTAAGATTCTTATAAGATGCTTGTATGTAAGATTGTTATATAAGAACCGATGACTAGGGTATAAGCTTCCTGCAAAAAGTAAGGAAGAGATGAAAGAAAGCTGAGCATCTCCAAAATTTTTCTTGCTATAACTATAATTTTATGTGCTTCTTTATATTGAGCAAGAAGTACGTTAGTAAAATCTCTCAAATCGAGATTTTCTCTCACCGCTTGTTATCTAAACGATATTTCAATAATCAAGGAAGGCAGAAAATATACAAGTCTGAATCAAATTATATTCATTTTTATTAGAATTAAGTTTACAGATACATCTTACTACCTATCTCTCTTTCTCTGCCATACCCACAGGATCTTTTTTTCCTTATTTACAGCTTTATAACGCTATAAAACATGCTTTTTCTTAAATTATGGTATTACAACGCTATAGATTTATCTCATCTATCTACAACGTCATACGAAATTTTTTGCTCTAGGAAATCTCTTATAGTGTGTGGCGTGACAACTGAGGACACATAACTGAAACCAATATAAGGAAGAAGGAAGATTCTGGAAGTAGACACTTCAGGCTATCTTTTCATGTGCGTATCTCAAACCGATTTTTTGACCGAAAATCACCATTTCCGAGGGGGGGGGGGGGGGGGCCGGTAAAAAAACCTTTTTAATTTTTGCACCCGGTGGGCCNCCCCCCCCCCCCCCCCCCCCCCCCCCCCCCCCCCCCCCCCCCCCCCCCCCCCCCCCCCCCCCCCCCCCCCCGCTTAAATAAGACTTTTAATATGTTCTCACCATGTTCGAACTTTCTATCCGATGAATTTGAGTCTCACATATTTGAGATCGATTACACTTTTTCATGCACTTAATTTTGTCGATCCTCATAGTAGTAATTTTCAAATCAATCTCTAGCGGTCAGTCGATAGTGTTTTTGCTTTTTCAATGACTGACATCGTCTAAAAAGTGGTATGTAATTTTGTATTAAAATTCTCGTACTTATATAAATAATTCATAAAGTCTTGTTGATAGAGCTGTATCACCATCTTCACTTAGCTTGTGTGTTATTTTTGAGAAAACGACTGAAAAGTTTGTCATTCTTGTGCGAAGTTTTTGAGACAATGAGATATTATTTCTACCTATATCATACATGATTCTGTACTGCGAAAAATTCTCCATCAAATGAGCCTAGGCCTGACTTTTAAAGCGGAGTCTATATTGGAGAAAAACATTTTAAAGAAGTGCGTCATTTAGTACGAACCACCGGTTAACTCTTTTCATCTTTTTGTCCTTGCTTTTAGACAAATCTCTAAGAATATTATGCTTTGTCCATGCAATACACGTATATTATATATGATCAATAAAAACCATGACAATCAACCACCCAAGAGAAAACAAAGAAAAATCATATGCATACGCTGCATATTATATACATATCTTCTATGCGGCCAGCGTTTTGACAGTCAGCGTACTCTCCAGAATGTGATTATAGGCTCATTCAGGTAGAATTATAGATAAAAGATATGAAAAGTTGAACCTCTTTACACGTATTATTTGTGAAAAAAATTTGTAAATAATATTTTCTATCATAAAAATCATTTTGAAAACATAAAATTTTAGATACCTTTAAATTCATAACAGTATACTAAACTTAATAATTTTATATTAAATTATTTACATTAAACAGAATAAAAAACTAAACTGAATAATTTGCATTCATTTCAATTATTATTACAATCTGATATTATTATCGTATGCATTAGTCATTATTCGAAAGTAACAACAAAAGGCATTCATCTACAAGGACAGAATACGTATATATTTAGTTGGCTGTCATTGATTAAGATAAAAATTATTTCTTTAAATAAAAAGGCCGTGAAGATTTATTGCATTTAGAGAAAAACAACAAACAAGAGTCAACCATTAGATGTGGATGAATGCGTTTTGTCTGTTTGTATCTAGTTGTTACCTTCGAATACAATACACGTTTCCCAGCATAAATATTCTTACAATATCTTTCAAAAATAATCATTTATATAATTCACCAATTCTGTTAAAAAAACAGAGAATTCTTTTTTTATTGGACTGCGCGGTTCCCATATTGGCAACATCAGTAAGTCAAGGGACTTGCGCACTTTTTCAATCCAAATGTGCTTTGCTCTAAACATTCTTCACTGAATGATGCTTCAAAAAAACAGAACAGTTTCAGAAAACTTCGATAGCCAGCCAGCTCAGCGAACTCTACAAAAAGCCAAATACATCTCTTACTCCTTTCTTTGTTGCAGATCAGCGATGCCAAACTTGTAACATTTTATATTTTTCCACGCAACACTAATTAACAAAAAAAATTAATAAGAAGCGATTCTTTTGATATAAAGCCATGGACACATTGGAAGATTCCTCTAGGATAGAAAATCCTCCTTGAGTGAGGGAAGCAAAAAACAGGTTAGACGACCCGCTTAACAAAAGTTGACTTTTTGAGAATTTTTTCTTCGCTAAGGGACACAATAGAAGGTCCTGGGTCTTCTAACGTGTCCATGGCTTTAAAACAGATTTGTGAATGAATGAATGATATTCTAGCCTTTAACTCTTTATCCTGCTGTTCGCGCATCTTCACTGCATCTTTCTCAAGCATCTTAGAGTCACTATGGGTCAAAATCGGAAATATAATATGAATTTTGTTCCCAACGATCGTATCAACAGATGGGCGTGTGATGTGAAGGGAACTGAATTCTGCAGATAAAAATCAAAAAAATGAATATTTCGCCATACATTCGGCCTGGGTGGACCACATGTGCGAGAAAACATCAATTAGACGTAGCACAAAATGTCCATCGAACTTTTCTGACGTTCTTTTCCCGAGGGCTGTAGAACCGGCTACAGTCATTTCTATCAAGTATCTAGTGTGCTCCATTTATCTAAGCTCAGAAATATTTTGACGGCTTGAAGACTCAAACCGGGACCTGTTTTGTGATTTTCTCTTTCCCATCAACGTTCCAACCGAAATCAAATAGATATTTGACAACTGGCTTGAATTTCTTACTGGTTGAGGGGTCATACAAGAATTGTCGCCGTGTTCTCAGTTTTTCGGTCTAAATATGTTCCTGAAGGATCGGTCTGTCAGAGACAAAACACATTCTTGTTCTCCAATTCTTTGTACGTGCCTCTTTCGATTTAGTTTTCGATGAAGAGTACGAACCTAAGCCTTAGTTGAGATAAAATCTCAAAGCAAAAGAGAAAATCGGGCAACAGGTAGCCATTTGGGTCATTAAAGCATTAAAACTTTGCCTGATCTAGACAAACGGGCCAAACTTGATATTTGAACCAACCTGATTTTAAGTAGGTCTACATTGTTCCAAAGTAAAAATTGTTTAAAAATCCGGTTTGCTTTAGGCGCCAGGTTCGACTTACTTGCTCCGGTTATATGATCTGCCAGAACTGACTTTATTTTGAAATACCATAGGTTTTTATTTTGTTGTTATTATTAGTAGCTTATATTTACATTTATTCCATATACAAATTGGCATAGACACTTGCTGGAAAATATGTGTAATCTTTTGAATTTCTATTACTAGCGTCCACGCGACCGCTGGGGTACCTATACCTCGGGAAAGATACAAGGTTAAAATCAGGTTATTTCAGTCTACTGAGCTTTCGGAAATCTGCTAAAAATCACCGAATTCCGAGATATTTGACCCCCAGATTTGTATAACTATCAAAAACCTCACGCTTAATAGAGTGAGCAGGTTTGTTGGTTATATTTTAGGATGAGCGGAGAAAACGGGAGCAGAAACGGTACCGGAAATAAATGAGAAAGTAAGTCGTTTTTTGCAAATTTTTAGAAAATTCTCCTTTCGTAGATAGCGTTTTACTTGAACAATTTGAAAATGTTTTTTGTTTTTTTCTGGTTTTTAGATCTATTCTCTCATCTATAGAGAGATATCGAAAAGTGTTCAAAACACTACATAGTTTTCGGAAAAATTTCTTATTCAAATAAGCACAGTTAATGAATTCCCCAATAAATATTCCAGCACAGTTAATGAATTCGACAATAAGTACGCCAGCACCCGTTGTAGACTTTAGCCTTGCTCGAGCTCATGGGGCTTGTATGGTTGTGTCTTGGATTTTTTTCGGTTCAAATGGAATTCTCATGGCTCGACATTTTCGAAAGATTCGTGTAGGAGGCAGGGAGCAGCTCTGTGGTGAAGCCATCTGGTTTCAAATTCATCGGTCATTTATGAACTTAGCAGCTTTTCTTACTTTGTTAGCTTTTCTATTTATTTATACGTTTGCCCATGGAACATGGGTCAGCAAACAACTTTACGGACAACGCGCATTTACTCATTCAATTATGGGAATAATAATCGTTGTATTTTCGCAAATACAGCCATGGATGGCTCTATTTCGATGTCACCCAGGAACAAGATATCGTACTGTATTTAATTTTATGCATCGTTTTACCGGTATCTCGGCTCTGATACTTTCAGTTCCAACCATCTTCTTAGGCATCTATTTTTTAACATACCATCAAAAGGCTCTTATTGCTTTGCTTTCCCTTTGGACTGTATGGATCATCGCCATTTTTGGTACTTTTGAATATATATATTGGCGTTACAAATCTCCGCCACCAAACAACAATGTACATAATGCCGATGGTGGCGTTCCAATGACAGACATAAGTGGAAATGGAGACGATCCTCTGACTGCACCCAATGTTAGCCCAATTGTCCCAGGTGAAAATTCACCAATGAATAATAAAAAATTGGCCTTATATCTCGTCCATTTTTCAGTTTCACTTGGTTTTGCCATTGCAATAGTTGTACTTATATGTAAACCTTAGTATTACACATATTTTTTCCCCCCAGTAAAATTAAAAAACCTTTTTGTTCTTAATCCGTTTGAGAAAAGTATTTGATATAAAACATCATGAAATAAACCTGATGATTGTGCCGAGAAACTTCTGGGAAAGCCTGACTGCTTCAGTCCTTATAGAATATTTGTGGACGTTAAATATGAAACTGCAGTGTCTCGAACTATAAAGCGAAGTCTCTGTCTCGCTCTTTCTTCCTACAAGAGGACATGAAACCCTTAGTTATAAGTGAACCCCAAAATTATGGTTCATGTTATTCGATTTTATTTGTTCAGCACTGATAGCTAGAACAAACCTGAATAATGATTTAAATAACGAAAAGAATTTCCTATCAGATTATAGGTACGTATCAAAATTTCATAAAACGTTTTCGCAGATTGAGTTTCTATAAAAACCAGGACTATAAAAGAATAAGTCTCCGAATTTGATGGGAAACTGTTTTGACATACTTCAGTCATATAAAGCACAGAATTTTGAATAGAATAAGATGTTTCTTGCCTTTTATACGAAATTTTTTCCATGAAACTACAAGGAATTTATCGAAGGTCTTAAAATAGCTTGGCTGGCTAACAGTAACCTTCGAATCAGGAGAATGAAGGTTATTTTTTCTCTCAAAACAGCTTTAAATATACGTCACCAAATGCAGTCTTTTACGACGCTTAAGAAAATCGCCTTTATTTTTAACGAAAATTTGATTTTGAATTAAAATACTTAAACTTAAATATTTCGGGTTTTTAATTTCAATTTCCTGACCCATTAATTCATTCAAAAATTTCAAAACCTATGCTACCAGATAGAGAATTGAGTTAAATAGAATTTACTACCTGAATTAACTCAAAATTGTCTATCTGGTAGTGGAATCAGACCATCTGTAACCAACATCAACAATTTGTAGCACTTTTATATCATACGGACCGTCTAATTGAAACCAATATTAATAGTGCTCATGCACAATCACACTCAGACATGATTCATTACTATTAAATAGAATTTCAATAGTAAAATGTATTATAAAAAAACAGTAGTCTTTTAGATTCTTTTTTGATGAGGGTGGTTTATTTCTCGTTTTTAATTTACTGAGCCCTGGATAGGCATTTGATTTTTCGAAAATAAGGTTACTTCGCACGTTCATCTACCGAACAAAATTTTCAATTTCTTGTGAAACACAAGATGTTGTTACTTCTCTTTTTATTTTTCTCCGTTCGTCTGTGTTAAAAGTTGAATAGATCGGACTCGAAATACAAACGCTTAAGTCCGAGTTCGTCGAAACATCTTCCAGTCCGGACTCGCCCATGCCTGCTTCGTGGCATGTGCAACTATACCTAGGTCTCCAAAATTCTTTAACTCGTGTCAATAGTTGTTTTGCACTAGTTGTGTCTAACAAATAAAGTACCGGCTCCCGGATATTATATTGCTTTATATTCAACTGTTCATGACCTTGTTCACCGAGAAGGTAGAGGCTTAGGCCAGTACAATAAAATAAATATTTATCATTACCAGCCATTGCACTACATATTATACAGAGCGTGATACATAACCTTGGTTTGTCGTTTGAATGATTAAAGTTCAAGTACGTTACTATATTAGCTGATGTTTTCGATGGAACTGACAATGGATTCATTTTTGATAAACTGGCACGCATAGATCCAGCCGTATTTTACGATCCTGGACAGTAGTACACTTTCTCCTTCTTCTACATTCACATACCAGTGCGTATGATAATTTCTCTTCCTTCTACTCCCTTGTCTTTTCATTCACATTCTAGGCATAGGTATTGTTCTTTCCGCTATTTATTCGTATATTTAGTTAGGCTATAGTCTATTGTTTTTCTCTGACTTTTTATGTACCGACACACAAATACAACGATAGATACATTTTTCTCTCTGTTTGTGATTTGACATAGATTTCCGTTTTTTATCTTCTTTTAGTATATATGTACATAGATAAACTCTGTGGTGAATCGCAATGTGGCTTTGGTCCTGTAAGAAACGTTAGCGGTAACTGCAGCACAACGCGGAAATGTAACGGCTAGCCTTGCCTGGGCGGTGACGCGTCTACATACGTCTTAAAAACAAAATGACAGATGGACAAATACATGATAATTTACTTAATTCGTTCTTATAATTCTGACAGATTTATTTGTAACAATAAAATAGCCTCCCCGCCCAAAAAAATAGAAGGCCAACCTGGAGCGAAAATTTTTAAAAAACTCGCAATAAGGAGTGATGTAATCTTACAATCGGTGGAGACAATAAGAACTAATCAATAAATTTCATACCAGATAAAAAACACAAAGTTTAGCCGTGTTTTGTCAGGTATGAAAATACCAGAGAGGCTTACTTTTTCGCCGCTCACCTGTGTGAAAAAAAGCTAAACTTTCCGTTACTGTGGCTGCAATAAAAAAAATTCACGTTGCGCACACGCACATAGATACAGAACAAAGCAAATAAAATGGAAAAGGAAAGATAACTTAAAAGTCAGAACACAGTTTTCAAATTCTCTACGCATCTAGACGCATCTGAGGAGTATAGTTTATAAATAACGTTTTGACTGTCAATTGATTTTTATTTCTGATCATAACTCGAACTAGAACAGCCAGCCTATTTATTTTATTTTCTATCAGTTGTGTATAATTGATCACTTCTGTATTACAATTTGATCATTGCATATTGTCAGTCAAATCAGAGACCTTCACCGAACAAGTTTGTCCAACCTACCCTGCTTCGCCCAGCAACCAACTGGTTATCTACTGGTTTAAAAACGGTCTATAAACATTGGTTTGAATTACGTGATCGATATGATGCGAAAGTGCAACTGATTACGAGTAAGATACGTTAATAACTGACAGAGCCCCAAATAGGAGCAGAACATTAGAGAGGTATAAAACGAAATTTCTCTTTGAGGTAGTATGAAATTAATAAAAAAAGTTTTTGTGCAACGAATAATGGATAAAATAACAACAGCTTTTTCAGTTATTCGGGGGTTGCGCATGCTACCGTTATTTGTGCCCCTGATGACTGGTTACTGGTACTTGCCGATAACACGCGAGTACCAGTAATCGGTTTTTACTGTATCTCTTCGGTTATCGTTGCATGCTAACTTATTTTCCATTACCGCCAGAGAAAGCACATTATTTTCAATGTACGCGCTTTTTTCTAATAAAAATCGAAAGAAGCAACTCAACCTATATAACCTGCATGACTTTAGTTCATAAACATTCTTTACAAAATTACGTTTGTTTTACACGCTTAATTTAATGTACATAACACATACTAATAGAACATCATTAGGATGTTTGATAAATACGTGTGATGATAAAAAAGTGTGTAATGTTCACTTTTGGAATTTCGACCATCTGCTACAAATTAAATTCCTTTATAATACTTTATACCGCCAGTGTCAATTTGGAAAATAAGAAAGAAAAACACGACCGCTTTAAGTACTTAAGCAATCCATCCAAACATTGGAAAAGTTACATTGTTTATCAGGCGGCATCATATCATCTGCATTGAGAGTATTACGAGAACCACAAAGGATAAATTTCTCTTCCCATGCATACCAATTGCTATCTAGGATTTTCACCTATTAGACTCTATCGTTCAATAAAAACATTCTTCAATACACGACACTACACAGGGCAAACAGCACACTGCTTTCAACAGGTTAATACTATGTACAAAACTTCAATATTAGTTTTTTTTGAGAATGAAATAGTCTGTGTCAAAACTAAAGTTTTGACCAAAACCAAATCTCTTAACGTAAAACAGTTTTGGCCATTAATTTATGACTTGAGCCTCTTGAAACTAGCCTAATTTGTTCAGATTTTTTCTGCTCGTTTGATTCATGTGTAACTCGGATTTTTAAAATAGGAAGCAGAACAAGAAAGAATTGAAATATGATAACAGCCTACTTTTTCGATTTTTTTTCTGGGCTTCTTGTATAAAATCGGTAACCCAGTCATGTTTAGGCTCTAAGGTTTAAAAGGTTGGGTTTTGGATAACTTTGAACGTTTTATCTAATAAGATCATAAAAAATGGTTTTAATTTTGAATTCTTTGGACGATTCTTAGTCATATATTTAGAGTAGGATTGGCAGGTATATTAGGATATCATTTGTATTGATATGCTTAATTAGCCATTTATAATACAATTGTTTTTAATTAGTTTTTGTAGAAATAGAAGAAAATCTTCTTTAGTATAAAACACTTTTAGAAATTTCAGGCATTTCAGGTTTTTGCCCAAACATTTCAGGCTTTTCAGGTGAAATCTCACCCCTGCATTTTTCGTTTTGGTTCCGCTCATGGTTTGTGAGATATTACCACAAAAGTGACCAAAATGGAGCTATTCGTAGCTGCAAGATTTCTCGCTGATGAAACGTTGTGGAGAGCTCTTACGTTGCTGAAGTGCATGTGACTACAAGCTAATCTAGTCGGATTTTTGAGCTTTTAGTTTTCAGACTAATGGTCGACATCAAAAGTCCAAACTTCGAAAAGTCGCATTAACTTGCATAAAGATGTTTTTCTAACCGAAAATTTAGACCGAAATAAAATATCGGACTCTATTAGCCTCTAGCCACATGTGTCAGCTTCAATTCAAGATCTTCCCGAGCTCTCTGCGATGTTTCATTACCGAGAAATCTTGCAGCTACTAAATGGTGTTAAGGTCAATATCGACTTTTTACAAAAAAATATATATTTCTGACGGGGGGGTTAATCGACGTTACGCTAGTTTGTGTGGGATATGTTTACTTTTATAAACCCTAAAGTTTTTGGATATGTACCCCGATAGTATGATCTATCCAAATAAATGACATGTTTAAGGTAAAGTCTGAATTATTTGTAGTAAAAAAGAGACGGGACCATTTTCTCGAGAGATCGTAAAAAGGCTAAATTGGAAGAAATGGGTTACTTGAGCACTGCGGGAAACAATAAAAAGTAACTTAAGTAGTAAATTTTAAAATAGCTGACTTCTTTCAGCCTCGCGAGCAAGAAAAAATTATATAAAAAAAATTGTAAATTGTATTTTTCAAAATACAAAGGAGAAAAACTATTCAACTTTTCGAAACACGGATTTTTCCCGATTTCGAAACCCTCAGAGTATTTCGAATTTTTCTCCGTGGAAACGTACACTGTGAAGGCTAAAAAGGTGATATTATTAATCAGAGTGAAATTTTCTAGCGGATGACGTATAAGGAAGCCAAAAATAAAATAGAGCTCGAACTTCGAATTAGCGGCATGTTAATTATTTTAACGATGAATCTGGGTTTCGTTGAATAACTGTATTTATTCTCACATTTGTCTACAATTTAAGAAACGCATTCCAAATTAGCGTGTCCTAATCAGCAAAAACAATAACTTGAATCACAGGTGATGGATATAATCTGTACTGATTTTTAGTCTAAATCAGTGGAAAATGTTTTTCTCACATCGGTCGGATTTTGATTTTCTTTGCAGACTCTCAAAGTCCAGTTATGCCGCATTTTCCAACCACATCACTTAACACAGATAAGTTAGGAAAAGAGCTCATTGCATATCCCGATAGCGACTTTACAACATATTTATTAACTGGTGTAAGAGAATGATTTCATACTGGCATCAGATCTTTACCAGAAAAACCATACGCACGTAAAAACTTACGTTTTTCAATCAAAAAACCTGAAATAGTCACAAAGTTACTAAAGGAAGGCATTTGGAAGGTCTACACTGTTGGTCCTCTTGATATTCTGCCATGGAAGATATATCGAGTAAATCCGCTAGGACTAAAGGCGAATATTTTAATAAGGGAGCGTTTCAAAATATATTCCGATCGGTCGTTAGTCCTTTATTCCGTTCCTTAGGTCGATATAGTTATAATACAACATAATTTAGAATTGGTTTATATGTAACTACCCAAGTAAGCAAAAATTTACTGAAGACGACCGTCATGACTAGTCCGAAATGTCCTTTTAACTTGTCATGACGAGTCTGGAATGTCCCTGTGACCCGTCAGGACTAGTCCAGTTTTTAAAAACTGTCATGATATGCCGTCCAGGCTAGTCTGAAATGTCTGATTTATCCATCGTGACTAGTCTATTTTGTCTGATGAACACGTCCAGACTAGTCAAAATTAAAAAATGGTCATAGTTAAAATTCTGTACTGTACGCTCGAACGTGTACGCCGTTTGTCAAAAGGACGGACGGGTGTTGCAGATGGGATCTTGTTACAAGTCTCAGACGGTCGGCTATCAAAATGGTCCGGATGAGTAAACTGACGCACGACAGGGCGCTCGTTTCACAGTGGTCCGTCTGTGTTAACCAAGGGGCGTGCGGCAGGACGTCAGTCTCGGACTTAATGAAGATATTTGACCTTAGTTATCTAAACTGAACGTCCGTTTGTAACAGGTGACGCTCGCCTGCGATGACATCCGAGCACTACGTCTTGACTACTCTGTTTTGTTTGTAACTCCGATTTCGACTAGTCAGAATCAAAAAAAAATGACGTGAAAATTTCTTTGACCTGGGTTAGAACTATTCACCGTCTCCCACAAGAAATAGACGCGTACAGTAGACGGTTCATAGACGTTACATCCATTTAAGTTTTTCTTTTTGTAACAGCCTAGACACATTCCTGTTAAAATAAAAACTGATCGATCGATTGGTCGTCTAGCACCTCGTCCTGGAAGAATACTTCTACGCCCGGTTCGGATAAACATGCTGACGTACATCAGTCGCCCACATATTTTGGACAGCAAACAAATTAAGCGCCCGTCTTAGACTAGGTCTTTGACTGTAGGTCTATGAAAAAATCTAAGTTTTTCTATATAGATCATGAATCTACAATACTTTCTTTGCTTCTTTTATTTGCAGCTTATGTACAATCTGTTCATCCATCGTTTGATATTACGCAATCATTTTTCTGTAATGCAATTTCCTTGAAGTGTAGACATCTACGTGAACAAAAAGTAAAGGGAGCAGGTGGTGGCGGAAGCAATACTACGAAATCAACAACAGCCAATTCATCAGAACGAACAATAATAAATGATGGATCAGAAGAAGAGAATTCTGGAGCAAATAAAGAAAATATAGATAGACAAGAATAAATACACAAGAATTGAAGCTTCAGTAGTTTTTCTTGTTTGTATTTGCTACAAAAATAGAAATTATTTTTGTTCTTTTATTATGTCACAGATAAGAAAAATATTGAACAGCAACAACGGTAACAATAAAAGAACCGGTGAAAACTTATCGAATCCAACAACTTATATAGAGGACGGCCGATTGCATACTGCTTAGGCTTGTATGATACATATTCCTTCATAGATCATCAAAGTGATATTTTTAGAAATAAATTGCTATTTACTTCAAACGATTTTTCTCTATTTATGATGCCTACTCTTAGGACTTAACAGAGGCGCCGACAACGCCTTCTAACAGTAAATTCATCAAAAAGAAGGCACTTTGCACACCAATTAACATCATCAGTTACAGAGCCGATGCTTGTACCGACAATACATGATGCCTCGAGCTAGTAGAGAGGAAAGGAGATAATCAGTATTCCTACATCAGTATTCATACATGTGGTAGACGAAAGGAAAAAGAAGTATATAATGATTAGTGTCCTGTGAGATAGAACGACAAGAACAGCCGAAACACTTTCATCTGATCTTTGCTTTGGAACGAAATATATATGTTGCGATTGTGGTGATGGTGTACTGTACTAAGAATTCTATTCAATTCTCTCTTGCTAAAGTTCGCCTAAACAGTCTTTTACATCAAAGACATATCACACGGAGTAAATACAAAAACGTGTTGTTTGAAATTAATGATAGTATGAATTGTTACTGACGAACGAAACAAATCCAATAAAATATTATTAAAATGCAAAGCCGCAACGAAAAGAACAAAACTAAAAAATTTTATTTTTTACCCTCCGAGTGAAATATTAAAAAATGATAATGGACAAAATTATATTTTCTCAACAAATAAAAAAAGCTTAAGGTCTGCACAGTAAAAAATATTGTGTCGCAGTTCCTGTGAGAAAAATATTCTTAAAATCGAATAAGAGATCCAAAATACTTAATTCTACCGTTTTCTCTATGGTAGGAATACCCAGCGGAATGTGTCGCAGCCTCAATGGAAAAAATGTGTCGCAAGTGGCTCCCGGTGCCGCAGATGAGTATGTCGCAGAATATGTCTCAATTTGCGACACATGCGACACATTATTTTTTAGTGTGTGAAAAACTGGCTTCTCGAAAAAGGTTTACTTTCCGATTAAAAAGCAAATAGAAAATTAGTTTTAGTGTATAAGAAAATAGAGGAAATATTTTTGATCAAAATGAGATATCTCCCAGCTCTGAATGATTATTCAATTAAGACTTATGACAGTTTTGGTAAAAGCCCTAAAACATGCATCAGATACTGGCGCCACCAAATCTCGAAAGCGACTTTGATCTTAATACCATTTCGTAGCTGCAAAATTTCTCGGTAATGAAACATAGCAGAGAGCTCGGGAAGGTCTTAAATTGAAGCTGACACATGTAACTAGAGGCTAATAGAGCCCGATTTTTGATATTCGGTCTAGATTTGTTATTAGAAAAACATCTTTATCAAAGTTTATGAGACTTTTTCCAATTTTGGACTTTTGACGCTGACCATTATTTTGAACGGTAAAATATCAAAAATCCGACTCTATTAGCCGCTATTCACATGTGTTTTCGTCAATTTAAGACCTACCCGAACTCTCCACAACGCTGTTACGGAGAAATCCGGGAGCTACGAACAGCCTCATTTTGGTCATCGCTGTGGCGACATCTCACAAAACATGCATGATGGAGCTAAACAAAAAATTTAATTACCATACTTTCACAAGATCAACATCTCCTGAAATTTTAGTTAAGATCGGGCTTATAGTTTCAGAGATAGGTTTCTGACGGGGGGGGCTGGGCCTTAAAGTAGACACTTTAAAAAAAGAACAACTCATTGCGACGCCAACTTTTCGTGGATTTATAGGTTTTCGACCATGCTCTACAAGGTGAGGCTACTTAGAAAAAAATCGGAAATAGTCATTGAGCTTGGCTTGTCGTGTTTTATGTGTAATGGCTCCTAGAAATACATGAAAAATTTTAAAACATCACTAAATAAGGAATGTGAAGAATGCAAGAAACATGCCAAAAAATAATAAATGCTTTTGTTCTTTTAACGTGCAAACTATGTTTAAATTATTTAATTTTCATATTATGGTAGATATTTGTTTTAGATGAGTGTGCGTCCATACACCTATGGACGTTCTGTTTTTTCAAAATAACTCACGTATGACTCAGGAATACAGAAGGAAAGAAATAAAATGAAGCTGAAAAAATTGAAAATTTTATATTTTCCTTTTTCTTTTCATTCTGAGAGCTACTGTTGTTGTTGTTGTTCTCAACGAAGGAGAGTATCATGACAATTTGTATGTATAGTATCGTTTGAAAAACAACGGAACTTCTGTTTTAACATGCCTTCCAATCATGATCAACGATATAATAGTACAAGATCTAGTCAAGAATGTATGTTATGTGATATTGAGATTTGATACAACATTTGATCTTCAATTTTGCTTTTCTAGGTTTAGTCAATACTGTATCGAATCCAGGACTTTCACCAACTCTATGCACTGCCAGCGGAGCAAATAATCGTCAAATAAAAGATTCCTATTCAAGTTCACCTGATAAAGAAATATTAGCATTCAAAGTATGCAAAACGCAGCGATCAAAAAGCGATATCATATTTGTTGCAATGTGTTCTACACACACACTTAAACAGCTAAAAGAACGAATTATTCATAATTCCAGTTGGTATCCTCTCACGTTCAACGATATAGTATTAACAGTATTCAGCAATATAGAAAACACTTGGATTGATGTAAAAAATGATAACGATAATGAACAATTATTAAATCTGAATTTACATCATAACGATTATATTAATGTCGAAAAATTAGAAACAAAATCGAATCGATTAATCACAGATTATTCTAAATCATCCATAACTACAATTTCACAATCTCAAAAAAAGTTTAAATTTAAACTTTGTGAAAAAGTTTTTATGATGGAAAATTACATTGTACTAATTGATATACCAGCAACATCCACAATCATGTGGTTAAAACAAAAATCGAGTGAAAGATTGCAACTGTATATTAGTAATCTCTATATAAATTTATTTGTTTACGACGACGAAAAAAATATGTGGACAAAATTTGATTCTACTGTAGACGATTGTACATTGGAAGAATTACATTTTAAAAACCATAAATTTATATGTATTGAAACAGAGAATGATCATTCTCGTATTAAAACTAAAACAAATGAAAATTATCTTTATACACCCGGTTTATGTGGATTAACAAATATTGGTAACACATGTTATATGAACAGTGCATTACAATGTCTTAGTAATATACCTCAATTAACTGAATATTATCGTAATTTATCAGTAACTAATAATGAACAATCAATTATCAATGTTTATTCTAAATTATTAAAACAAATGTGGTCCGGTCAATTTTCTTATGTTAAACCAAAACAATTAAAAAATATTATTAGTCAATATGCACCAATATTTACCGATAATAGACAAAAAGATTCACATGAATTTATGAATTTTTTATTAAATGCATTACATCAAGAACAAACATCATCAATAATAAGTCAATTATTTCATGGTCAAATAGCATCCACTGTGACATGTTTAACTTGTCAAAAAATAGAAATAAAACATGAACTATTTAATTTTTTATCATTGTCTATAAATCAAAAACAAATATTTGAAATTCATTATTTTCAATTAAATGGTAATCAAGAACAATTCCTTATTGACATATCAATTCAACATACAACAACCATATCAATATTAATTGATGAATTTATTTGTATGTATAATCCAAATTTAAATAAAGAACAATTATTACCAGTTACATTAGATAAAAATTGTATTAAATATCGTTATAAATTTTTTGATTATTTAATAGATATTACTAAAAATCAATTATCTCTCCTTCAATTACCATTAATAATCAATTCAAATGAACAAACATATATTTCCTGTTTATTTATGGATATTGATACAAAAAATTCATTTCGTCCACCAATATTTTTGTTACGATCAAAATATATGTGTCGGACAATAGATTTTAAACAACAAATAAATAAATTATTAAATCATTTAGAAACAACAATTAATAAATCTAAAATTGACTATAAACTCTATTGGACAAATCTCTACGGAAAAAAATTTAATTTAAATTTGAATGAAGATGAATTACTATCGGATATTGATACAATTACAATTGGACTTAAAAATATATTGACACAAAAATATCAATTTAAACAGGATAAAAAATTTAGATCATTAACACCATCATTTGTATCTACAAGTTTAACATTAGATAAATTATTAGAAAATTTTTTTAAAGAAGATTTTCTCAATGATGATTATTATTGTTCAAAGTGTATAAAAATGACACAATGTAAACAAAAATCGAATCTATGTCTAACATTACCACCTGTTATTATTATACAATTAAAACGATTTACATACAATGATTATTCAAATGAAAAAATTAATTCTTTTATTGAATATCCAATTTATAATTTGAATCTTAATCAATATTTAATAAAAGAAACGAATAATGATAAATGTCTCTATGATTTAATTGCTGTTTTAAATCATAATGGAAATTTATCTTTTGGTCATTATATAACTTATGCCAAAAATAATATAACACAACGGTGGTATTCATTCAACGATAGTTATCTACAAGAAATTGAGGAAAAGAATTTGATAACTGCCGATGCGTATATTTTAGTCTATATCAAACAACAAACAAAATCGTAAGATAGTCCAACTAACAAGGGAAGGATTCTAAATTGCAAATCGTTTTCTAGATGGAACTAGGTGGATTATATGTAACCTTCCTCCCAGAATAGAAGGCCATCCTATGTTAGAAGACTACCACTGAGACAATTCTGTAAAATCCATATTAGAAGGCCATGGCCTTCTAATACAATCATGCCACTTTTTCGAAAACTTTTCAACATTTGACTTCCAGCAAACATGATAATTGTGCATATTTTCGGTCTTGACTCTTGGAATTATCGCCCGGCAGTTGTGACAGACGTAGAAAGTATGGCTCTTCTTTATTAATTGTCCTTTTATCGAGTAACCCTAAACATAGAACATAGGGCAAAGTAATCGATTCAGTATCGCGCCCAATTGCATTACGCTCAGATCGATAGACAGTAAGTATATTATCCCTCATAATTGATGTTGATGAACAGGAGATGCCAGAAGCGCAGGGAAGAGGAAAAAGTCAATAGCGCCCAATATACAACAGCTTAATGGTCTAATTTCTACAACATTTTCACATTCAATCAGCGTACCCACTCTTTTGGGAAAGTTTCCTACGCTCTTGAGTTTTATTTTGAAAAACTAAGGCCTATGGACTATAGACAGTTTTGCATCGTCTACAAAATGGCTGATTCAGAAAAAAATTTGAATTTGATCCCTGGTTTTCCGATGATCCAGTTTTCAGAAAAACGGTTAACAAAAGTTTAATGCAACTCCGATGTTCATATCTTGAGTCGGCGTCATCAATTACATATAGTCCATCTAGTTTCATCGAACGAACGATTTGCAACTTGGAGCTCTTCCCTCATGAGTAAACATTTCTCATTTATTTCGTTCAAGATATTTGATATTTTAAACTATTGAAAATATTATAACAAATATAAATCGCATTCGTTGAAGATTACCGTTCAGAAAACAGGCTGAATGAAAAACTTTCGGAAACTGACCTATAATGAGATCTAACTCGAGATAAAAAGTGCAATGTAAGAAATAAGAATTGAATACTAAACTTCCTACTTCATGTATAGAAAATTGAATTGAGATGAAATAGTTTCTTTGGTTGGCTTTTATTTCGTTATTTCAGAAAGACAGAAACTGTGTGTTAAGTACAATCGTTCTTATATTTTTTGTCCATACGTATGTCGACTATTTCGAATCAAATGACTTTGCTTATTTTTCTGTTATCTTTTGTATCAAATTCCCACAAGTAATAGGAGACCAGCTGATGTTTTATTTTGTTCGCCAATTCAAAACCTTAAGGGTGGTCTTATATGAAGATCACGTTTATCCTCATCGTTCATGACCCAAATTGTCTTAAAGTCATCTTTATATGCTGAAAGTGAACTTTTAAGTCTATTTTCGAATTTACTCGTTCTCTTTATTCCGCAAAAAAAGCTACAACTTTTGGTAGCGAAGTAGAACAGCTATTTTAAGATGATGAATGTCATTTCAACTCCCTGCCAGTCCAGCCTCATAGCCCCAATGGGATATATCCCATTCGGGATATAAAAATATATCCTGATCGAGCTATGATAGCCTGATCAGGATATATATCCCATTCGGATATAATATATATCCTCTTTGGGATATAGCGAGCGTGAGAGAGAGCTTGTACTCATAAACAAAACAATGGTTCCGTTCCTTCCATGCTGACTAACTGTTTGATTTTATTCAATATAAGTGGAAAACCTTTTTGTTTTACAAATAACGAAAAACATCGTTTCTTTTTTTTTGATTAACATACAATAAAAAAACTGTTTTAGTTTTATTCGGAACTAAACAAACTGTTGTTCAGTAAGTAACTGAATGTTATGGTGAACGTCGAATTTTTAAATTTTCAGATTGCAGTTGAACACCTAATTTAACTAGTGGAATGAGTTGGTTAAGACTGGTGGCGATTGATTCTAATGCTGCTGGTCGATTATGGTCCGATGTTAACGACATTTCTTGTAAATGTAACTTTCTTTTTTCAACTTCAACAATTGCACTGATATTATCTTCTTTTTCAATTTTTCTTTTTTTTTGGTTGAAAGATGGAGTGCTTTCATTTTCTGCATAATTATGATCACGTGAAATATTTCGACGAGTAGGAATAGCAGTTGTTGTTTGTTGTATAGGAAGATCAGAGAGAATACGACGAGAAGTGGTAGACGAAGAAGAGGCTGACGTTTGTTTTAAAGGTTGTGGTTGCATGGGTGGATCAATTTCAATATCACCTGCTATCAATTCTTGTGACTGCTGCGTTTAACAAAGTCACATTTTCACTGAGATATTTGCTAGAAAGCGTTATGATTATGACAGAGATTACTCAAGCACAATAAACGAACTGAAAACTAAATTTTATCCTCATTTTCAGATGGTGTTTTAATTCCAATTTGAGTACAATCGATAACACCGACAACTCGAGGAAATTTAGACAATTCATAAATCCTTGTTTTATTTCATCCAGTTCGTTGACTGTGCCTGGAAATTTAATTGTTTGTGAAACAAAATCTGCCAAGATCGTTGATATGTCTTTCATAACGAGACTGACTGACGATCGACTAATTCCATGTACGTCTCCATCGACGTAAAAAATGAACGTAAATGAAAAAACGTGAATGAAGACGTAGCAATACCTCAAAGAGCTTGTTTCTGTAGTGTTAATAGTTTGATATGCGAAAATTTGTTTCGATTGATTCATACAGATAATTGCTAGCTACCTAACAGATATCTGGACAATAACTATGAAATGAAGTAGGAAGGGGTAGGATTTCGAAGTCTTTTACAGCAGGATTTATATCAAAAAGTAGGATAAACGTTCGATGTGGAAAACAACGCCAGAAAACGTTTGCGTTTATCTCTACTATGGCACAGTGTGATCAGCTAGCCATATTTTATGTACTCCTGTCATTTTTATATATAAGTTAAAAGTCTCCAGTAAAGACAGGACCGGCGCGAGTGTGTGTATAGATGGAACAATAAATTTTCTTTGTGACTAGTGTAAACTTTTTTGCCAAATACTAGAAGAATACCGTGTATCTTAGGTGACGTACTACATGCAGCGTTTAATGTGCCAAAATACATGAACATAAATCAGATGACAGCATCCTAATAATGAACTGCAAGCCTATAAAGAAAACATGGGTGGTTTTTTTTAATAACAGCGCAAAGAAAAGAGTAAGAAAAGTATTAAAGTAGGACGGTTTTAATGAAAAATAGGATGTTTACGAAACCTTGCAAATGTATATAGTAATCTTTCTTTCATGTTGAAATAAAAAGTCGATTTTCTTACCGTCAGACGGAATGAGCTCTAACTTTTTTGTAAAACTGTTTGTTCTTTAAGATAATAATTACGTGTGACTAAAGTGTCGATCTATCTGGGAGCGTTTTAAAAAAGAAATAACACCGACACTTTAGCCAAGCATACTATTATCTAAAAGAACAAACAATTTTACGGAAAGGTACAGCTCATTGTGTCTTTTGGTGAAAAAGCAGATACATCTTTCTAATTCTTACTATTTATACACTAACGTAAGAGTTATACGATACTGCTCTTTGCACAGAGCTTATCGTCTGACATTACAAGCTTTGTTATTTCTACACCAACGGTAAATGAAGAAAATTAGAAAAAGAAAAAGTAAGATTGCTACTGAAGAAACAGCAACTATGGTAACATAGACTTTCAAAAATGGTTCTTTTATTGCGAGACTGCTGAGAAGCGCATCGTTATCATCTAAGAGTGAGCGAATATCAGTCAAATTTTTGAGTGTTTTGTTTCGCGCTGCATTTAACGGGGCTATACGATCTATGGAAGAATTAAAAGGTATAGTTTTACCTAGAAACATCAACTAGTGCGCAACAATTCGTGATGGCTCCTAATGTCGCAAAGATAATTTGAACATGTAAACATCACAAAAAATCTGAACGTAAAATCCGTTACACAAACAGTTTTATTTGACTTTCTATACTTTTCATTCATTTAACTATTAAAACGAGATTAAAAATGTCTTGGCCACAATTAGAAGGGAATTTGAGCCATCTCATGGACACAACCAGAAAAAAGTTTTAACGAACTAACTTAGTTTCACCTAATTAAAAATCATTGTTTAATCATCACCGGCTTTTTTGGCTATTGATCGAGACGTTTCAACACACCGTTGTTGTAACAGTCCTCTTAGCTTTGTTGGAATAGTTAATTGACGCAAAATGAAGGCATCGTTCTAAATTGCACTGTGAAGCATCACTTTTTACTTTGATTGTTAATGAAATGCAACTGTTTTTGTTTAGAACGATATATGAACAGAAACATTTTTCATTCTGTCAATTGTCAAGTGATTTGTGATCATAAAATGATGATTTGCAGTGCAGTCGTGATATGGCCGGGTTCAACACATGATGCTTTCTCTTTGGGTCAATCAACTATTGCTACCACAGTGGCAAATGGAGTCTTAGGAGATAGATGGCTCTTAGGCGATAGTGGTTATCCTCTTCCAGCTTGGTTATTAACGCAGTTCCTGAATCCGGGAACGGGTCCAGAAAGACGATATAACAAAAGTTTAAAAACCAGCCGCTCGATGGTTGAACGAGTTTTCGGTATTCGAAAAACTCGTTTTCGTTGTTTGGATCGGGCGGCGGCGGTTTACAATTTATTCCAGAAAAATGGGTCAAAATCCTACTTCACAACCTTGCTAAGAAAATGAATCGGCCAGATGACGATGAAGATAAAAAACAGCAAGTTTTGTTGGATGAGTTTGTTAGAGTTTGAGGACGATGTTAATATTAATGCTAGCCGAGATGAGCGAACTAAACTATGTTTTTCTTCCACCTTCTTCCTTGTTAATGAAGTAATAATAATAATTGAGTGCGTGATGTAATTCATATTTGGCCTTATATGAAATTGCACCGTTTGCAGCATCAGCTAACATCAAAATTCTTACCTAAAAAAAGAACTTCTGATGTAGAGTAATTTAATTATGATGAGGATCAAGGATTCTTACGTTTATATGATGCTGAAACAACGGGTGAGCTATCAATACTACTTACTTACTTACAATACTTACGATACTTGCACACTGCTCACACTACTTACGATACTTGCACACTGCTCACACTACTTACGATACTTGCACACTGCTCACACTACTTACGATACTTGCACACTGCTCACACTACTTACGATACTTGTTCTGTCAACAAGATCGCGTAAACAGTGAGACAAAACAACTTTTAATTCCTCAAATGTAAAACTTAGCTGATTTTTATTGCGAGCATTGCCGAAACTTGTATCTTCATTAACCCTTTTAGGCCCAAATTATTTCTTTTGTTTTAATTCAATTAGATTGTAAGGAAAGTTGATCTAAGTCGTGAATGTGTGCCATGCACAGCTCGCCTGTACTTTCACTTGACACGCTTTACGTAGAACTCATTCAATTTCTGTATAGACGGTGCTGAAAAGGGTCGCTGAAGTTTATTAGTTGCAAAACTTATACAAGTTTTTGGTGAAATGTCAAAAAACAGTTTCTGTTGTTCTTTACACAAAGAGAAACGCCGCAAAAGCTACATTTTATGGTACTGAACACTGGAGAGGCTTTCGTGCTACAGTATCGGCATCTTCCCTTAGACCCAGCGACAGGCATATGCACTAAGAACTGAATTGATGAAGCCGTGTTGCCCAGCGTTTGTTGAATTTCTTTTTCCTTTGCATGAGACAAATGCATCGATCTTCCAATTCTCTTCCGAGGGCATTGATCACCAATTAGTGACATCGAGACAGAACAGAGAAAATCAGCGTAAGTCACATTTTTCTCATGCAAGTCGTTGTAACAGACAAACGCATTCGATAAAGCTGCTTGAAGAAAATAAAGAAATATTCGAATCCAATTCCGTCGAGATTTTCTGTCAGTTGAATAAAGAAAGACTCTTTGATCAAATAAATCTACGCCACGCATGAACTTATTGTACTTTGGAACCATTGCTGGAACCATTGCCATTGGACTTCGCTCATGTAAATACTCCGAACTCGATAGAGTTTAAAATGACCAGCTGTGCATTTTCAAAGCTCTCATAAAATGTTTATCAATTCTCAACGGAATGAGCTAGAAAGGAAGACGATCTTTCGCAGATCGTCATGACGATGTCGCCGTCACCGATGCGCTAAATTGGAACTTGTAGTCGGCTGAGGAGTTTTTTTTTGACAGCTCCTTGTCCTACACTAAGAGTCTACACTAAAAACTAGCCAGCTTGATCAATACATAGACAAGAAAAGTTTGTAGTTTCATGTCCCCACATTTTCAGCTTGTTTCGTTCTCATCATGATTAAAAAAATATCGCGGTGCATTACATTTTGACACTGACAATAGAATGGAAAATTTCCTTTTAAAAGCATCAGCTAGAAGCTTTTCAAAAATCTTCATCAACTTTGGAATGGTGATGGTTTCGATTTGAGTTTTAAAGTGGTGCGCACGTCTTCGTGAGAAAAAAACAGTGTTTGTTTCATTATTCAATCATTCTTCTGTTACATGAGATATTTTTACATAACAAAAAGAATCTTTTCTGTTTTTCAAACAGCTGAAAATCTATATTTTACCTTCTATTGCATCATCCCAACCGGCTTCATTATCTTCATTATTATCATTATTAATTATTGATGTTGCAATATTATTGTCATCAATGATATTGGTATTGTTTATTGATGTTGTATTATTATTATCATTGGTGTT